CTCCAGATTACAGAAGGGGCACCTAACCCTACAGACTAGACTAATTCTATTTAATTAGTCTGAGAATTAAAAAAAAAAAGAGAGAGAGAGAGAGATAGGAAGTGTTCATCAGGGATCAGCGTTCACTCAGAGCACTGAGATTTCTCATTTGCACAAAGTTAGAAGGCATTTGCTCTTGAAGGGATGGGACAGAATCAAACATAAAACTCCTTTAGGTATTTTTATATTCATTAAGAACTTTGGAATTCTTGACTGAGGTTTTAAAAATCACTGCACCCATTAAACAAGAGGTACTGACTGCCACGGAAGAATTAATTTACAGAAAGTAATCTGGAAACCTTAAAGTGATGTTAAATTCCCACTAGAGATATACCTTTCATGCCCCCTCTGTTTATGTATTGGCTAATGGTCCAATTATTTACACAATATGCAAACTAAGGGTAATAAGGTTGGGTGATTTGTATTTGGTACTGAGGCATGGTCTCTTGGCTCCTAATGTCAGAAAGAGATTAAGTGAAAGGTTAATTGGGTACTAAACAAGTCCTCGTGACAAACAGGATCACAGTTCTTCATGAACAGGCATTCTTCATAAACATAACCTAAATTACAAATATGAAGGTCTTTGTGATTTATATTAGGGAAAAAAGTTTAACCACATTAATACAGAATTTTTTCAAGGGTATTCATGAAATACTTCACCAGTTTCTTAGAAACTCACTCTAAAATCTACCAACTTAATTCAGCATAAGTGCTAATAATAATTTTATAATTTGAACACCTGATTTTCAACAACTCCAAAATGAATGCGGCGATGTCTAACAAGGAGCAATGCCCTAGATGAACGGAAACAACCAAACTCACATGCTTGTGCACAGATACCCACAGACACAAAACAGGAGGTACCCGGTGAACGGTGGCTTTCTTCTACTTCCTGTCAAAAGATGCATTCCTATGAGATGCCCACTCCCATATATTCCAAAATGAAAATAAAGATTTATCCATGTATCAAAAGGTCAACTCACATTACAAGTTGAAAATCTGGTCTTTTTGCTATGGATTAGACAAATCTGCTTGTCTTTTTCTCTTTAGAGCAGACGCAGTGAGGTAGCAAGCACTGGGCAAGACCCCTAAGGCACCATCAGAGAAAACCCAAAGGAAAAAAAATTAAAGGGCTTACTTTCTATATAATGTCTTCTTCTTATCTTTAACCTAAATGACTTATAAATGTCTGCCCCTTTAGAATGAACACGATTATTTTCAACTTTCTGCTACAAAATAAGTTGAAACAAACTACACTTATTAGTTAGTGAAGATAGAAAACAACTTTCACTGGCTTCATGGCCAGTCACCTAGTAGGTCTCAACAAGTTGGCTGACCCTTCATTTTGAGAAAGGGAAGAAAAAAGGATAACAAAATTCTGTCCTAGATATGAGAGATTTGGAGGAGTGGGACAAGTTAGAAGGAAACTAAAAAACACGACATCAACCTCTAGGATTCCCCCCAACCCCAGTTGTGGTGTGGAGGTTAAGCCGAGGCTCCAGGATTCCCCTTCATGAAAGACAGACAGGCAAGAGTTCACCAAAAGTAAGGACACAGAGCTTGGAGGACTATTCTAAAGCAAACCCACAAAACCAAAACTGTTTTACAAATATCGAATATTCAACAGCTTTCCGTTCTATCTAGGGAAGAAATCCATTTCCCCAAAGGTGTATGTATCCTCTAGAGTACTTTTCAAACTCCAAGAACAAGTCTCCCTTTCTCATTCCCTCAATCAGAATAAAGAACAGAAAACATTTAGTAGCATTCCAGATAATCTGTGCCAATTGCGATGATTCATGTACTGCTTTCCCACACTAAATGGTCTATGGTCAGTGCTTTCGAGTCAACAAGGGTGCGGAGAGCAAGACCTAATTACAGGTCTGAGTCACTGTCTAGCAGTCCTCTCAGCCCCATGGACCATCCCCCACAAAGACACCATTTCATTTTGAGGTACAAAATCAAGCCAAGCCTACCAATCCCTTTACATAAAAAAATAAATAAGAAGATACCATTACACACACACACATACACACACACAAAACAAAAGCAGTTTGTTCACAGTACTGATTTCTCAAAGAAAAATTTCAATAGGCTTCTTCCATTGAAAAGCATCTATACCATTAAATTTTTTTAAAATAAGAAAATGCACATAAATCACACTACGGGATTAAAATGTAAATATCTGCACTTCTTATGTTTATATTTGGCCTGATGTATAACAAGGTGCCCGCTATCTTTGAATTCTGGTCATCTTCCAATGGGAGAGTAGCTCTCTTCACAAGGGCCTCATTGATTGGGCGTTTCCACTGATGGCTATAATCTTCTTACACTGGCAACATTTTAATTTAAGATCCTGGGTCCACATTGGGGGAAAGAAAGCTAAAGACAGTTACATTTAAATAAAATTAAAAGGAGGACCCATTCTTTTAACAACAGAAAAATGCATGCACACAGCATAAAAACCCCAATTTGATTTCAACAAAAAATGTTATTTTTCCTTCCTGTAACATGTATACAATATGTATGAATTAAGGGGAAAATACCTTTTGAGGTTACTTCTTTCTCCCACATGTCAAACATTTAAACAAAAATAACATCCTGGAAAAAAATAAAAAGAAAGAAATTCTCTTCTGATTGTCATAAATCTTTCTCTGATACTTTATCAGTAATTATGTCCCCAAGTTGAAAGGATTAATGATCCCTGAATGGAAATGACTATTTAGTTCTGTGGAGGCCACATTCCAAACAAGAACAAAGGGTAATATGAATCCTCCAAGAGCAACAGAAGGAGTTATTTGGTTGCAGAAGTTAAATGACCTGAGATCTATTTCTGACAAGAACGATACAAAATGATCTCCAAGACTCTAAGCTAGGGCATGAAAGGAAGTAATGACCCAGCGCCAGTGACTGAGGTCCCAATCTGGTCATAGGAGCGGACGGCTTCTCTGGAACTGCAGCCACAGTACAAGGAACAAACTGATGGTTTAGAATGCACAAAAGGAAACCTTGTAGGTGTGATGGCAGGAAAATGCAGACTTAGTGAAGTCTGCCAAAAGCATGCATTCTGAGCACAGGATGACTCGAGCTACTTAAACACAAGCCAAGCCTGCACAGGAGGGCAGACGCAGGTGAAGAAAGGGAACTCACTAGCAGACCAGACACCGATTCCGAGAATAAGATAAAAAGCTGTCCACATGTTGATTAAAATCAACAATTTAAAGTCTAACCCATTTAGTATAGATCACTGGGATGTCTAGTGTCTCAGAACAAATTTATGGCCTCTTTCTGTGATCCTGAACCTATTCTCAATCCTCTGTGATTTTTTTTTTTTAAGATTTTATTTATTCGACAGAAACAGACATAGTGAGAGAGGGAACACAAGCAGGGGGAGTGGGAGAGGGAGAAGCAGGCTTCCCGCCAAGCAGGGAGCCCGATGTGGGGCTCGATCCCAGGACCCTGGGAACATGACCGGAGCCCAAGGCAGACGCCTAATGACTGAGCCACCCAGGCGTCCCTCCTCTGTGATTTTAAAGAACAAGTACATATAGTATCTACATTTACCTGAAGTTAAAAAGCATATGGAAAATCATACTACACAAATGTGATAAAAGCACAGACAAATGCATGGGAAAAATTAGGAATAATATCAGGATAGCGGTTCCTCAGAGGTAGAGACGGGCGCTGCCTGTTAGGGGGCATTACCCTGGATTTTTTACTGTTCCATAGAACTGGTAAACATTCGATTTCTCTAGTGTATTGTAGGGAGAGTACATATGGGTATTTGTATTATTCCTTATTCCATTGCTTTTATGTTTGAAATATTCATATTAATTTTTGAAGGACAAAAGCAAACGGGGCATCAGAAGCCTGGGCACAGACTGTTCTAAGAAAACACAAAGAACAGGTCCATACTGCCAAATATACACCTAGACAAAGAGCTGGTGGTTCTCAGGCGGGTAAGGCCAAGACCCTTTTCAGAGTTCACAGCCCAAGCAGGTTGATTAAAAGGTAAAACCTTCCGGAGGGAAAAGAGAGAGAGTGAAAGCAATATATTTTATTCTCCTGTCTTTGAATACTAAATCACTCTATCAGTTAACTGTTAAGAGCGAAGAGGGTGCCAGTCAACACCAGCACACCCTGCCAGTTTAATTTAACGGTATTATTTTGCCTTGCTTTGCAATTACTCCCACATTCCCCAGGGAGAAACTAATGGATTACTAAAAATAACATGAAGATTAAGTGAATCACTTAGGATGTTTTGGCTCCCATCGTAAACTGGCTTAAACAAAAAGGAAATGCGTTGGCTCAAAAGCGAGGACTTCTGGAGGCCTCAGGGCTTACTTCTCTGTCCTCGGCCCTGTGTGGCTTCTTGCTCAGGCTGCAGCCACCGCAGATCTGCCAGCACCGAGCAGCATCCAGAGGAAGAGAGAGGCCCTTCCTGCAGGCCTGTTTCAAGTCTGAGAAGACTTCTGCCAGAAGCTCCTGGCAGACCTGCCTTCGCGTCTCATGGGCTAGGACAGGATAATGGGACGCTCCCGAAACCATCCTTCTGCCCAGATAACGCCCGGCACGGCCGATGCTTTGCCCCTGAGGAGTCCGTCGTGCACAAAGCAGGGATGGGCTTGCCCCTAACCAGGGCCGACCCTGGAGCTCCTATAAGGGAGACGGGTGGGATGTGTGATATGGATCCAATCCCAATGTCCGCTCTGCTGGTACTGACTGGGAATGGGCTGAGCAACACCGTGTTTATCCGAAGGTGAAATTAATCACGGTCATGATGAATTTCTATATAAAGCTACAGACTCAAAAAGTAGGTGACCAAATGAATTGATCCCTTTGAGAAAGGCAGATTTTTAAAAACTTTGTTTCTGTATTTCCACTGCTCCAATGAGAAACTTAAAGACACAAAGTCAACACATTTTAAAGCAGGTAGGTCACAGGAAGTATAGGATAGTACTTACTATATTCTTGTGCCATGGCTGCAGAAATTTAAATAATAGCAGCCATATTCATAGTGAATAACCTGAAAAGAAAAATATAAAATAGTTTTTAAAAAGTTTAAAAACAGAAAAAAATAGCTAAGTGCACAAGAAATTTCGTTAAAAGAAAATAGTTGCAAAAAAAAAAGTTTTGTTTTTTCTGAAAGAGGCAAACCAGGCTTTTGAAAGTAGGCAGCTACATTTTTTTTTTAAGATTTTATTTATTTATTTGACAGAGAAAGGGACCACGAGCAAGGGGAGTGGGGGAGGGGAGAAGCAGGCTCCCCGCTGAGCAGGGAGCTGATGTGGGGCTCGATCCCAGGACCCTGGAATCATGACCTGAGCCGAAGGCAGACGCTCAACGACTGAGCCACCCAGGCACCCCAGGCAGCTGCATTTAAATTAGAAGTTAGAGAAAACAGGGGCACCGGGGTGGCTCGGCGGGTTCAGTGTCTGAGTTCGGTTCGGTCATATCTCAGGGTACTGGGGTCAGGATCCAGCCCTGCATCAGGCTTTGGGCTCAGCAGAGAATTTGCTTGTCCTTCTGCTCCTCCCCCTGCACTCTCTCTCTCTCTCTCTCCAATAAATAAAACCTTTAAAAAAGGAGAAAACATCTGTAGTATTAGAGTATCTCTAAATATCTTCAAGTTCAAATCGTCTGCATCTATTGTCAAATAAACTAAATACATTTTATTTTTTAATTTTTTTTAAAGATTTTATTTATTTGTTTGAGAGAGAGAATGAGACAGAGAGAGAGCACATGAGAGGGAGGAGGGTCAGAGGGAGAAGCAGACTCCCTGCCGAGCAGGGAGCCCGATACGGGACTTGACCCCGGGACTCCAGGACCATGACCTGAGCCGAAGGCAGTCGCCCAACCGACTGAGCCACCCAGGCGCCCCCTTAAATACATTTTAATCAACTAATACTGCCTTGCCCTGGACTGCTATTTGTAAAACTGAAACAAAAACACAATTATTAAATGGACCTCAAAAATCATGTAGCCTGTCCCCTAGAAAACCCATCTACCCTGTTCAAACCACTGCAAATTAGATAAATCAGCTTCAATTGCTAAATTTCTAAATTCAGGGATACGAGGGAATAGATCTCAGCACAAATACATGCAGTGGATTCCGACATTTGGTACTGCATGTTTATTAAAACTTCCAATGTTCAGAACACCGTGAAACACTAAAGAAACACACCCACAGAACTAGGGACTCCAAGACCCTGGAAAGGTTTTGAATGTTCCAAAGTGAAAGATGAGAACTCTGTCTCTATTCAGACCTTAGGACAAATAACAACATACCAAATCACACTTGAATTAAGAAGGACTTGACATAAAAATCGATCTCTGCTACGATATTTCCTGGGGATGGTCTGCCCTGACAAGGCTGAAGATAGGTACTGTCCACATATCTACAAACACCATGTCCAACTTCACCTTCCTCGGTGTATGCACGGTTCGCCAATGTTGTAGGCATTAGTTAGTTTTGTAGAAACTTTTAGAAGTAAAGAACTTTTTCTCTACCTTCTCACATTCAGTTTATAGGGGCCTGCTAATTAAACTGACAAGGACAAATTAACAGAAGAAAAGGTATATGTTTCTCTATTGATGTTAATATTTTTACACCCATGGGGATGTTACAGAAAACAAGTAAAAACCCAAAAAAGCAGTTCCACCCAGGGGCTTAAATACCATCTTAATAAGGGGCAATAAATTGTGCAGAAGTGACTAGACAGGAAAAGGGGATTGGGGCTCCTAAGGATGATAAACTGTGGAAAGATGACCAGGAAATCTATGGTAGATAGGACCCTTTGGTAAGATTATGCAGACCCAAGTTTCTCCAGTGATAAGAATGGTTCTTCTCTTCCTGGTATGGAGACGGGATGCACCTTTACAAATGGAAATCTATGCCCCAATTTTCAGGCAGGAAGTGGGAGGAAAGAGAACTCTTCCTACATCTGCTATTTCTCAATTTCCCTCACTCAAAATAATCCTTGTTCCAAGTGGCATGTTTTGGGGTGGCATATTCTGATCATCTTCAGGTTCACAGAAATAAAAACACCATTAAAAGAATAACAGTGCAAGTCTCAGAATGGAAGAAGGTATTTGCAATATGTATATCCATCAAAGGACTCGTTCAGAATATATAAAGAACTCTGATAAAACAATAAAAAGGCCACCTAAACAAGTAACCCAAATGGTCACTAAGCATATGAAAAGGTACTCAACCTCATTTGTTACCCTTACTACAAAATAAAGCCACAATGAGATAGAATTACCTACTGATTAAGATGGCTAAAACTGAACTCTGACAATACCAAGTCTTAGGATGTACAGCAATTCAGCTCTCATGCACTGCTGGTGGGGCTGTGAACTAGAAAACAGCTGAGCAGAACCTAATAAAGCAGAACATAAACTTACAATGTAGCTCAACCATTCCACTCCCAGGGCAATGCCTACCAGGAATGCACATGTGTAGCCCCAAAGACACACACAGTAACAGTCAAGCATTAATTGTAACGGCCAAAACTCAGTGACAAATAAATTGTCGAGTACTGACAATGAAATATTATACAGCAAGGGTCAGTGAGCTTTTTCTGCAAGAGTTAAACAATTAATATTTTTGGTTTTTTGGACCAAAGAGTCACTGAGCCCTGTTGCAACTACTCAACTTTGCATGTGGAGTACGTTTACATAGATGATATGTAAATAAATGGGTATGGCTGCTGTGCCAATAAAACTTTATTTACAAAAACAGCCAACCCACATGCTGTAATTTGCCTGCTATACGGTAATAAATATAAATGAATCTTAACTAATACAACAACACAGATGAATCTCACAAACATAATGTTGAGACAAAGAAGCCGGACACATGACAGAATACACTATACGATCCATTTTATGAAGTTCAAAAATAGGTAAACCTGTGTAAATCAGGATAATAGTTACCTTTGCGGTGGGAGCAGGGGTAAGAAGATAGCAGAAAGGGGTGGACAGGGAATTCTGGTGTGCTAGTAACACTGGATTCCCTGATCTGAGTGGTAGTTTCATGATCATGTTCAATTTGGGAAAACTCATCAAAGGGCTCACTTACAATTTACTTATCTTTGTATGTGTTACACTTAAATAAGAAGTAAAATATTTTAGTATTTTTTTTATATAAATAAAGAATACAGGCCAGTAGTACAAGTGGATGCTTTCTCCAAGCCCAGGCTCCCTGGACATCAACTACTCTGAGCAGCAGCAAGCCTTGAGCCCCTGCAAGGCATGATCCTAAAGCTCCCCCTATCTAGTGTGATATCTGCCTGCAACCAAACCTTTGCTCTGAGTTCCAGGTAGGGCTGTGGAGAATGAACTGTGATTAGACAGAACACACAGTAGTGGCAGGAAGGGAATGCAATCCAGAGGGAGGAAGGAGAGTAACAGATGGTGGATGAAGAAACTGGTGGAAATAAGCCCCACGTTTTCATATCATCTGCTGGATAATCTATACACAGAATAAAAGTCACATGAGCAACTTAGAAACACAGTTTGGAAGGTCACTGAACGTGCCCTTCGGACAAAAATCACGACATTTTAAAAGCTAACTAGGGCTCTTAAAACACTGTTGAATAGATTTGTTTCCCAACCACTCTTATACCATACACAAAGATAAATTCTAAATGGATGAAAGACCTCAATGTGAGACAGGAATCCATCAAAATCCTAGAGGAGAACATAGGCAAGTAACCTCTTCGACATCAGCCACAGCAACTTCTTTCAAGACACCTCTCCAAAGGCAAGTGAAACAAAAGGGAAAATGAACTTTTGGGACTTCATCAAGATAAAAAGCTTCTGCACAGCAAAGGAAGCGGTCAACAAAATAAAAAGGCAATCCACAGAATGGGAGATGTTTGCAAATGACACAACAGATAAAGGGCTGGGATCCAAGATCTGTAAAGAACTTCTCAAACTCAACACCCAAAAAACAAATAAATCAGGTCAAAAAATGGGCAGAAGACATGAACAGACACTTTTCCAAAGAAGACATACAAATGGCTAACAGACACATGAAAAAATGTTCACCATCATAAGCCATCAGGGAAATTCAAATCAAAACCACACTGAGATACCACTTACACCAGTTAGAATGGCAAAAATTAACAAAACAGGAAACAACAAATGTTGGAGAGGATGTGGAGAAAGGGGAACCCTCTTACATTGTTGGTGGGAATGCAAGTTGGTACGGTCACTTTGGAAAACAGTATGGAGGTTCCTTAAAAGTTAAAAATAGAGCTACCCTATGTACTTACCCCAAAGACACAGATGTAGTGAAAAGAAGGGGCACATGCACCCCAATGTTCATAGCAGCAATGTTCACAATAGCCAAACTGTGGAAGGAGCCAAGATGCCCTTCAACAGACAAATGGATAAAGAAGATGTGGTCCATATATACAATGGAATATTACTCAGCCATCAGAAAGGATGAATACTCACCATTTGCATCGACATGGATCGAACTGGAGGGGATTATGCTAAGTGAAATAACTCAAGCAGAGAAAGACGATTATCATGTGGCTTCACTTATATGTGGAATATAAGGAATAACCTGGAGGACATTAGGAGAATGAAGGGAAAAATGAAGGGGGGAATCAGAGGGGGAGATGAACCATGAGAGACTATGGATGCCGGGAAACAAACTGAGGGTTTCGGGGGGGGGGATGGGTTAGCCCAGTGATGGGTATTAAGGAGGGCATGTACTGCATGGAGCACTGGGTGTTATACACAAACAATGAATCATGGAACACTCCATCAAAAACTAATGATGTACTGTATGGTGAGTAACATAACATAAAAAAAATAAAAAAATTAAAAAAAAAAACAGATTTGTTTCCAGTACAATTTCTTCCAGCTTTTCAAGTTGAGGAAGCAAACCTGACAGATAAAAGAGTCTTGACCTCCTAGGTCTGCATACTTAAAACAGTCTGTATACCTTGACTTCATCTTAACCATCCACACCATGTCTAAAATTTAATTAGATATGTAACATCTCAGGGA